TCCTAGTCAGGTATCTTTACATTCTAATGCTGTTTGACTGAGGTTATTGTCTTTGAGCTCTTCTTAGGAGATAAGGACTCCAACCCCTAGATAACATCAAGGGCTTGAAGCCAACCAGTCCACCAGCTGCAGACTGCATGACCCCAAAGCAACCAGTCCATTATGGGACTCTGACATCTGACACAGACCCTCTGCTGTTCCCAGCCTCTCCCTTTTTCTGAAGGACAAATACCCTTACCTCATCTTCTCCCCTGTTCCCCTTTATAAGCCCCAGAACAGGCATTAGAAGGCTGGATGATCTTAGCCTGGTAATCACCCAGATGCCAGTTATCTGAATAAACCTTCTAGTCCTTGCACCAACTTTTGGACTTTTGAGTCATTTGTTCAGTGCAAAAGGGCAAACCGAGCCTGGTCTGCCAGTAATAATAATGACCTTCATATTTACACAGAAGTTGACTGTTTATAGAGCGCTTTCACAAACCTGTAGCCTTACTGGTTCCCATCATGCCATCACCTAGGATTCATCCTTTCATGGATTTAGTCAACACTGATTGAGTGCTGGCCAATGTGCTAAGTGCTGTGGAGTCAGGAATTATCACCACATTTTCCACTTTAAAAAACCATTGCTCAAAGTGGCTAGATTATGTGTCCCAGGTAAAGCACCAGTGAAATAATAGATACAAGATCCTAACTTAGCTCTTAAATCTCCAAATCCAGTGCCTTTCTTTTCTTCTGTCTACTTTGCCTCCGTCAAAGCAGTAGGTATATTCCAAAGTGATAATCACAATTAAAAATGAATTAAAGTTAATTAAAAACTTCAATTTTAGGGAAATAGAGCTTCTCCAGAAACAAACAAATAAATAGAAAAAATAAATAAGTAAAAAGATCACCATGGAAAGCACTCCTAATCGTTAGAATTGTGTACCTGGGCAGGGCACAGAACACGGCTGCTTCAGGATGCTGTCTTGAAAGGGCATTTCTCCACACAGTGCATCCTCTGCATGGATAGCTGTGTGAGAGATGGAACCATTGTGGACCACGCAGGAAAGGCTGCGAACCTGCACTCCTTCCCCACAGTCTCCACCCTGTGAGGGCAAAGGATTCTCTCAGTATTACTCCAATAATTAGCATCTCAAAGTCTTGGTTCTGGCCACCTCTTGACTAAGAAAACCTTAGTTGCTTATTCTGAGAATGTCTTCCCCTTGGGAGTTAATCTCTCAATTGTTGACAACAAAGCATCACTGAGTAATTCTTTTAGAGCTGATAGAGAAGCTGGAGAAGAAATGCAAATCTATGCCCTGGGATTTAGGTATTCAGAATAAGATGATTCATTTTGGAACTCAGCCAGGATTGACCAAAAAAGAAACACAATACATAATTTGTCTAGGTGTATGTGATAAAATGGCCTAATCCATAATCACCTCCCAAGAGAATATGTACAGCCACAGGGCATAAATTTTTCTTTTATTTTACCTGTTTTTCTTTTGTGCAGAATTCAGTGTTCTCTTATACAGATTAGGTTGGGGTTTCCAGTAAAACACTGCTTTTATCTACTACTATGAGAAGTTGTTTTCTCAGCATGCTTTCTGTGCTGAATAGTGTTCTTTGAAGGTATTTCTTACCAATTCCACTCAGCTATTCCAGGCAATTAGAAAAATTTAGTACAGTATCTCACAGAAACAGAAGTTTTGACTTGGAGGGTTTTTAATGGTTACCTGGCCCAACTATCTGCCTTATGAAAGGTTTCCAAATATAAAACTTTGGGCAAGGGCCGAGCCCGTGGCGCACTCGGGAGAGTGCGGCGCTGGGAGCGCAGCCGCGCTCCCGCCGCGGGTT